TGCAAGCAGCATCACTGATAATTATTAGGCTCAAGTCAAGTATGAAGAGGGAATTTTATTCTTTCATCTCCTGCTGTATTCCTAAGGCAAATTCCTCCTCTGAAGCTGGCATCTGTTTGCGGGAAATGCTCCACTGATGTTAACAAATGGAAACACCAGCTTCAAAGGACTAGATTTAATCAGCCCGCTGTATCTGTTTCTGTCTTGCTGTTTACATATTTAAAAACAGTTTGATGCTATCTGCATTTTAAAAAAATGCATATTAAAGGCAAAGACAAAAAGAAGCATTTAATGTCACATTTAGTTTGCCGCAAGAAACCTTTAACACAGACAAAAATGTATCCTTTTATTTCCTACCATGCTTGCAAATATTTGAGTGTTGAAGCCATCAACTTCAGCTATGCTTCCTATCCACGACACTTTAGCTCTGTGTGAATCTGCCTGTCAATTCCACCTCTGGAACTTAATGTTTCACAACCAACCAACCACAATACTTCATGAGGAAAAGCCTTGTACCACACATGCTAGCTACTAATGGCAGACCTACACTGACTAAATGTCTCTTTTGAGCTCAGTTTTGTCTCCTCTTACCAAAATGAGAGCAAATGCATTCGTTGCCAAAAAAAATTCTTACTGGTATAAAAGAAAAAACAAAAACATAACACATACCCAACATGGCTACAGTCCCGATATGGTAACACTGAAAATATGCTGCAAAAGGATCTTCGTCCACTAATAAGGACTATTCTAGAAAATAAGTAAAATTATAAATATTATATAGGGCAGAAAATCCTGCAAAAAAAAAAAAACTGAATTCAAACATGTAACAACCCTGTTTGGTAATCATGTTTCTTTCCACTTTTTCATTTTTCTTTCTATTATTTTACTGTATACAGGGTTTTTTTAATCATCAACATCCATCCATTTCTGCACTTTATGTTACACTAATATCTGTCAGTAAGCCAAGGTGCGATGAACTTGCATTGCACAGGAACTGCTTTGAGACACAGCACACCTCCAGCAGAAATAAAGAAGGAGCACTCTGTATGCATAGGACCGGCAATAGGAATGAAGAGTGTACAGGATTACACAGGAGCTAGCTGTCTACAATTGGCTAAGGATATTGAATAAAAAAGCAAACAAGTGATCCTTTTCTGTCTCTTCAAACACAGTCAATGCAAAGTAAAGTGGAAGTTACTGACATAGTTGTTCAGTCTGAATTTAAGAAAAGTCAGGCAAAGCAGGAAAACATGGGAGAAAAATTATCTGTCTGTGGTAATTTTAATCTGAATACTGGCATAAAGCCCGCAGAAGATAAACTATCATATTTTTGTCTCCTCCATAATTTTTAACAATCTCCGACAAGGAAGCCAAAGGGAAGCTAATGAGCCAGACAGCTGATTTCCCTTCAAAAAACAAATCAAGAAACCAAAGCAAAGTGTTGTGCCAGAGATGGTTGAGAAATAAATGGGTCCTCTAGGCCAGAGTTCATAAATGCAACAATAATTGGCGCCTGCTGAGCAGATGACAGCACAACCACTTATATACTAACAGAACCTAACATCTAACAGATGGCTTCACTCTATTGTGTTTTCACATAGAGATTATGCTAACTACTACAGTTTAGAACAGTAATTAAGTTTACGAAGGCATCTGACATGCAGTCTTTTCTAAGCATGTTGTCTAATATTCCAGTATGCAAAGAATTTAGTAAAAGATAGGCAAGGTTTCCAACTGGAACTGCAGATGGAGCAAACAAGTTATGCAAGATGTCTCTTGCATTAGATGCTAATTCACTGGGAATGTTCCTTTTAAGTCAGCAAGTAATGGATAGGAACTCAACAGCAAGAAACAGTTAGAATGAATACTCCACCCCATCATTTAGGATTATAAATTATTATTACCATGCACTTTTAACAGTGGAGAATTGCATTGTCCTTTCCGAAGAGGATTAGAAAAGAACCTAAAGAGCACAGCATAAGAATACAGAGGACTACGCAGATACTAATGATCAGCCATACCTCTTTAATGAAAGTTTCCTTTCTCATGATAAAAGCCTTATTTAAATTGGAAATAAATCAGGTATTTAATTAGCCTGCAGTTACTAATATCAGAAGCTATTTCGAAGTTTTTTCTCACAAATTTATGGATGAAGATTCTGTAAGCCCACCAAGTCAACTTACAGAAGAAAGCACATTTTTATCAGTTTTTTTGCGGGGGCCGGGGAGGGGAGATATTAACAAAAATGCTAAATATTTAGCTTGCTTGGTTATTTGTTACATCTATATCCCATCTTTCATCCAAGGAGTCCAAGGTGACACATACAGCTGTCTTCCATCCCACTTAACTTTTACAGTAACCTTGTGAGGTAGGCTGAAAAGGTGGTAATGACCCAGGATGATCTAGTGAGCTTTATGGCAAAGTCAACAGCTGAACCCAGGAATTCCAAGTTCTAGTCAAACAGTCTAAATAACTACACCACACAGAATCTATTGGAAAGGCATCTGAGTTTTTCAAAGCCATGCCAGATATTAAAGTGACAGTATCTTCCTCCCTGTCCCCCCCCCCCAGCTCCTGAGACCGGTTTCTGGATGTTTTGCTCTGCCTTCATCCCTTTTGATTCTGTGGCACCTTGCTCTTCCTTGTTTCTGTGCATGTAATATAGCTGGGAAGTAAAATACCTTTTACCTACTACTTTTCTGCTTTGCTAGGAAGATAACTGTGGCTGTCAAATGCTGACCTCAATTATCCACAGAAGAAATTATCTAACTTCTCAATTTTACATGAGGTTGATAAGATGCAGCACAGCTACATGATTCTGTAAGTAAACCCACTAGATTCCATCTGGTAACAACTGATAACATATAATTAGCATTTATATGCCTTTCCTCTTATATGTGGTAAAATTGCATGCAGCTGGCGCAATTTATTTTGCAGACAACTTTATCTTCTGTTATTAGGCCTTCTAGTTTGTCTATTATATTGACAGAAACTGGAGGGCTTAAGGGGAAGCAGAGGAGACTCAGGGAGCAGGATTGGAGCACTTCTCACCACTGGAATGAAAACTGTAACTGAGGAGGACCAATTGCAGATATACAGTGGTGCCCTGCTAGACAATCACCCCGCATGACAGTTTTTCGCTAGACATTGACTTTTTGCGATCGCTATAGCGATTCACAAAACAGTGATTCCTATGGGGGAATTTCATTGGACAATGTTCGGTCCCTGTTTCGCAAATTGATTTTCTCTAGACGACGATTTTGACAGCTCCCTCTGCGCTCGCAAAAGGTTTTTTTTTCGGGACCTAAGCTTCGCAAGACAGCGATTTATACAGCTGATCAGCGATTCGCAAAGCGGCTTTCCTATGGCCGATCTTCGCTAGACAACGACAATTCTTCCCCATTGGAACACATAAAACAGGTTTCAATGCATTCCAATAGGGAAATGCTTTTCGCTAGACAATGATTTCGCTAAACAGCGATTTCAGTGGAACAGATTATCATTGTCTAGCGAGGCACCACTGTACACAGCCTCATGGAACTGTATTCACAGGTTGTTATTTTTTCCTGATGAATATTAGAATCACTGTGCAGGATCAGACCAAATGCCGATTTAATGTAGCACTCTGTTCCTGTAATGAGCATCCAGATACTTATGGGAAGCCCAGAAGCAGGACAGTAATGCTTTCTGCTTTTGTGACCTCTCCTCCTTTGCAATGCATCATCCACGACAAAGCATCCACGACTGGTGCAATGCATCATCCACGACAAAGCATCCACAACTGGCATGCGGCAGCCAGAGTCCTTAGTGGAGTGAGAAAATATCCTATCTCTCCCACTCTGGCCGCTTTGCATTGGCTGCCCATTCGGTTCCGCATTGACTTCAAAGTTTTAATGCTTACGTACAAAGCCTCAAACGGTTCAGGGCTTCAATACCTGACACCCACTCCCACCAAAATCTACCCGTATCACCCAATCTAATCAGGAGGTGAGGCTGAGGAGCCTGACGCCGAGGGAGGTCCGGAAGGAAAAAACAAGAACAATTGGGTTTTAAAGATGCCCTTCGCTGGGCATCTTTAAAACCCAATTGAAAACCTGGCTGTTTAGACAGGCCTTCCCTTCAGTTATTATTTGATTTACTTTCTCTTTTCTCTTTCCCTCTTGAATGATTTGATTACTGATGTCTATAATGATGTTATATTTTATATTGTTTTATTATATATGTTGGAAGCCGCCCAGAGTAGTCAAATGACTAGATGGGCGGGGTATAAATGCAATAAATAAATAAAATAAAATAAATGAAGTGCCAGCACAAACCAGCAGCTGAGTCATGTAATATTCCTCCTTTACCATTCAGTGAGTTCACATCCTCATAATTACAAAACTACAACTTACTTGAGTAGTAGTTTTGTAAAACTGTAAAAAGACTGGTAATAACATTCATTAAATTACAATTACAATTACTTTCACCGTGGGGAAATACTTAATCTTACATAATTAACAATTAGTTCTGTGCAAGTAGTTATTTACCATCACCAGTTACTAATAAACACTACTAGACTTCTATGAAACCCATTCAGGTAAGTGGAATACAACTGGGTTACATTTTCCTGTCAGTCCAGAGATCAGCCTCTTTGTGGGAACTTTCCATCCATATACTTGTAAGGTGTATAAGCTCTCATGTGGACCACATGGACAGTATCTTTACTGCCATTCTCCATCAGGAAGGATAGATTGTATACATATAGCAGGAGGGTGGAGAATCAGCAACGAGACTGTGGCTCTCATGGAGCAATTCTTATATGTAGAACAGCTTCTGAATGTAGAAGGGAATCTTTGGATGTGTCTAGTTCTTCTGGCATAACGAAAATTGTGGTGCTCTCATTTCTAATGCCAAAGGAGATCTCTGTCTCCCACAAAGGCATATTTTCCTCCACATGAACTATCATAATGCCATTCCATTATATACTCTTGATCAGAAGTGATTTGCCAGCCAAATACCTGCCACTCCTTGTATCATTCTGTCTCATGTTCTTGATGAAGTGAACCTTCTTAAAGTTCTTTGGTCTGGGTGAGCCTGAGAGAGTCCGGCATCTGAAAAATAACAATAGTGAAACAATTAAGTTCCCCAACTGAATAGCTGAAATATCTCAACACAAAGGCAGGAAGGAAAGACCAGACAAATTATTCAAATCACTTCTTTCCAATTTAGGATTCTGTCGCAATACTGAGAACAATGAAGTCTAGAAACAAAGAGGCTGCCTGAACGAAACCCTGAAACATGATTTTAAAAAGGAATGCAGAACTTCCCGAATTTTGTTATGGCTCTTTTTAGGAAAGATTATTATGAAAGAACACATCATTGTTCCATTTCCCCATCACAAGAGTTCTTTGTGTTAGTACACATGAAACGTTTGTCATGGCTTCTGCATTTTGAATACTTCAGAATGAGCAAAGTTCTTTGCTAATAAAAATAAAAAGAGTTGGTGTACCTAATGAGAATGTTTCTAAAAATGCCACCCTTAAACCTAAGCCAAAGAGGTACCACATGTGGAAATGAAATGGCGCAGCCCCTCCATCTAGTCACTTCTGTAAAGCCAAGGGGAAGGAAGATGTCTAAGGCACCAACAGAAAAAAGCACTGAGGATAAGGCAGAGCATGATTAAGTGGAAACAGACTGTATAGAAAGGGATGAATGAGTATGATGACCTATGAAAAGATTCTGAGAAAGGCAGTGGATGGGAGTAGGACTCACAGAGAAGATAAAGCTATGCTGTACTGATGGAAGAGAGCGGCTGAAGACATAAATATTCTTTGGTACATGGAAGTGAAGAGTATAGATCATATATTACTATGTAGTAGTATGTATCATCATTACTGTGTGCAAGATGTAGCTATTAGTTAGAAAGCCATTGTCAGAATCGTGAAGATAGTTGAAACTTGAGCTATGCTGTACTGATGGAAGAGAGCGGCTAAAGACATAAATGTTCATGGAAGTGTACAGATCATATATTACTATGTAGTAGTAGTATGTATCATCACTACTGTGTGCAAGATGTAGCTATTATCATTAATCAGTTAGAAAGCCATTGTCAGAATCTTGATGATAGTTGAAACTTGAACATAAAGTGGTGCCTCGCTTGACGAGGATAATCCGTGCCATTGAAATCGCTGTTAAGTGAAATCCTCGTCAAACGAAATTAAAAAGCCCATTAGAATGCATTAGAAACCGGCTAATGCATTCTAATGGGTGAAATACTTCATCGTAAAGTGAAGATCCTCCATAGGGCAACCATTTCCGGGTGCCTGTCTTGCAAAAAATGCCTCCTAAAAACAGCGGGGGGCCATTTTGAGAGCCGGCGGCCATTTTGAAAATCGCCGATCAGCTGTTGCAAAAACATTGTTTAGCGAAAAATTGGTTCCCGAAGCAGGGAACTGATCATCGCTAAGCGAAAAACCCCCGTTCAAATATCGTTTTGTGATCGCTTTTGTGATTGCAAAAACATCATTGTGAAGCGGATTCATCGTTAAACGGGGTAATCGTCAAGCAGGGCACGACTGTATTCATTTGAATTACAATTCTATAATCCCATATAATAACTTTAAATCTAGCTAGACATGACACAGGGTTTGTCTGGATATAAAACCCTGGAAGATCAGCAGGACTATATATACGTTCAAAACAAGTGATATATTTTCTAGATAATAGTACAGGGTTAGTTCACATGGTAGTTAAAACTACAATTTTGACAGGTATTTAGGCCTTCCTTGCATGACACGTGCAACAGCAGCATGTTACTTTTCCTAACAAATATATGTACCAACATGTTAGTTTAAGTTATGGATTAATTAAGAGCTTATTTTTACACAATGTAAAGATAATACCATCACTTATTTAACAAGTATTCACCACTCAAACGTTAGGAAAATTATAGAGCCCAGGAAGGTGAACAACACAAGAACACACAAGGTTCTCTGGGTAAGCAACCCTAATGGTATTACTAGTGATGCACAGGGTAGTATCTCCTAGAGCTCAAGGAACATATCCAGTGCCACTCATAGACTTGCTAGTGCTTGGCCTCCTGTACCAATAACAACAAAAACAGCATTTATTGTATGACATGTGCCGCATTTACGATTCTCTCTCTGAAAAAATATCTGCATATAATTCTTGTTTCAAATTTCTGTTTACTGAGACAGAAAAACAATCTAATGTGTTAAGGCAACTGATTCAGTTTTAAATCATTGTAAAGGCAGACATGCTTCTATGTAGATATGCTTTTAAGAAATTTAATTTAAAAAGGAAATAAATTTATAATGCTTAACAAATGATTTATCTAGTTAAGCACTGCTCCCCATTCCTTTGCTGAGATTGCTTTGGTTAAAAAGGAAAAAGAGAAGTGGCAGAGGAAATATAGATGGGGCCACATCTAGTGTGTAACTTAGCGCTGAGGCAGACTGTGGTCTTCTGCTATAGATATTATAGTCATAGGAATTGACCACAAAGTACACAGAACTACTGAAGAGTAGCAACTGTTTCATGGAGATCTTATTCTCCAAGACATATCTATTATCCTCCTTTCCTTATGTTCTCTTCTAACACCTCCTTATTCCTCTCAGCAGCCACACTGGGATCCAATTAAAAGGAAGCCTACTGTGAACAGAAATCTGCTGGAAAGATACTCCCAAGTAAACACTCTGAAATATTAAACATTATTTATTTTGGGGGGCAATTACAGCCGTATTTGAATAATTTATGAAGGTTCCTTAATAATGTTTTCATGAATTCTCTCTGTTAAGAAGGCTGGTATGAATGCTGCCATTCATTATTTTCCCTCCTTTTAAGAGACAAAGAAAAAGTTCAGTTTAACTAGGCATGAACTGGTGAATTTTGGTAGTAAAGACAGATAAGCAGACTGAGCAGGGGTGAGTGGGGTGTTTATGCGGCATGACTTTTTTTTGCCCACTTTTAACATCCTACTACGTACCTCTTTTCCTGATTTTCTTAGATTTTCCTCCCACAGAAACACTGGGAGAGAATATTAACTAAGTCAGCTTTCAACTGGTATAAGTTAAATAGTTTAGAAGTAAACTTAAGACATAGCTACCGTATTTAGGCAGGCTTTCCCTCCAGCTGTATCTTAAAATTTACATTTTAACATAAATAAATAAGTCCTACCGGCTAGAAGTAAGGGTACGCAATGACGCTGGATTTGGTAGAACTGTGTTGGCATCCTTCCTACTGTGACGTCCCACCTGCCAGTAAGTGAAGCTTGCCAGTCACCCATTTGTATGCATTCACAGAGGCCACGAAGAAGAAAAGTTACTTACCTGTAACCATGGTTCTTCGAGTGGTCCTCTGTGAATTCACACTACCCACCCATCTTCCCCTCTGTCCATCACAGGTATCTTATTTATTATATAACTCTCATGCCCAGCGGACAAATTTTAGGTACTGAGGGGAATCTTGGGTGGGAGAAGCATGTGCCTCATGGGGGACCAGCCCATAAAATTGTTACTTTTAGCTCTAGAATATTCCAAGAACATCAGCGCAGGCGCAGACAAGACCCATTTGTGTGCATTCACAGATGCCATGAAGAAATCTTAGATTTCATATAAAATTTAAGTAGGTGTTGGGTTTGAAGAAGGAGCATAACATTTTTAATTTATTAGAAGGGGCATAATTTTCTTTTCTTTTTTGTATGTGAATACTCATCAAAAGAGCCACAGGTTCTGTGGTCCTGGGGTGGGTTATGGTCTGCAGCTGTGTATATGAAGAATGGTTCAGAATGTGAAATGTAGAGTGCTGAAAAAATTGCATCAGGCAGAAAATAATTGCTCTCTTTTTAGCTGAATGAATAATCCAAGCCATTACACATAATAAATACAACAAATTAACAAACTGAATGCTGAAAGAAGGGAGATTGAAAACAGCTCAGTTAATTATTTCTGTTAACTACAGTCTGGCACTCAAAACACAGGACAAACGTTCCTTCACTAGTACAGTGGTGCCCCGCTTGACGATTACCCCGCTTGATGACGAATCCGCTTTATGATGATTTTTTTTTTTGCGATCGCTATTGTGATCACAAAACGATGATTCAATGGGGGAATTTCGCTTAACGATGATCGGTTCCCTGCTTCGGGAACCAATTTTTCGCATTACGACGATTTTAAAACAGCTGATCAGCGGTTCACAAAATGGCTCCCCAGCTGTGTTTAGGATGGATTCCTCACTTTACAGGCACCAGAAAATGGCCACCCTATGTAGGATCTCCGCTGGACGATGAGGTATTTCCCCCATTAGAACGCATTAACTGGTTTTTAATGCTTTCTAATGAGTTTTTTACTTTTGCTTGACGACGATTTTGCTCTACAGCGATTTCGCTGGAACGGATTATCGTCATCAAGCGGGGCACCACTGTATGTGTTCAAAGTCTATTTAATTTTTATGGATTTTCAACTTCTGGTCTTTTATACCTTATGTAGGAATGTAAATGTCACATTGTAGTTTTTTTAACAATAAATCAATATTGTGTTTAAAAAGAAAATGGCTTTAAACAGAGACTGTAAGCAAAACTGCCTTGTGTTAAAAGCAGGCAAAATTAGTGTTTCCTATGGAAACACTAATTTTGGTAAAGCTCATCTCCAATTAATGCAAATGTCTCATCTAAGCACAATGAATTCGTGCTGTCTTGAATGCATAAACAGCTTGTTGTCCCAACCATGGAAAATTTGGATTCTATCAGAATATATTACACACTATACATTTTACTTTGGCAATTATTGTTGTATTAATAGAAGAGAGGTCCAAACTCAATGAGTCATAAACAATTCTGTTTTTGTGGCTGGCAGGCCTTCTTTATTAGGGCTGCTGAACCCAGAAATGCTACTAGTACATTGAACTAAATGCACTTAGTGCCTATGCAGACCTTTATACTGAACATGCAAAGGCCTGTGGGAGTTCTGTATGGGGTGGAGGACGTAGGAGTGGGGTTCACCTGCATGCCCCCATTTTCATCACCTTTTGATCTGTACATGTTTTCAGAGTGAACACCTGAACAGGGCTACTAAATCAATGTAAAGGACTGTTGACTTCAATAGGTACAAACTCTCAGTGATGTGGCAGTGATGAAACCATGTATGTGCATGCCAGAAAACGCAGGCAGAAATCATGTACAGTTACCTCCGCAATGGTGCATTTTCCTCAATGTCTTCCAAAGTCTCCAATGAAGATCTCTGGGAAATCAACCGGCGTCTGTGGAGAAAAAATAAGTAAAAACAAACACTTAAATCTTATGCAAACCTTTCTTTAGCCAAAGAAAAATATTTTTTGCATCACTGATCTGAACTGGATTGCTTAAATTAATGAAACAGAAAGTTGCCCACTGTTCAGTGTATTCTGGAGTGGTTGTAGACTCCTGAATCACTTTGTGAGCAGCTTTGGGGTGCCATCATCATCATCAACTCTCAAGGCACAGGTGGGTTTGCTGGTTAGTAGCACTTTTTATTAGCTTTTGCTTTATATACAGCTACATGTCGCAGATAGAGGACTCTCACAAACAGGGTAAGAATCCCCACTCAGCCATGGAAAGAGAGGGAGGGAGTTGATCTCTTATACCCACTCCTTAAATATCTCACTTACTTTGAAAACCCTATCAGGGTTGCTATAAGTTGGTTGCAACTTGATGGCACAGAGCACACACACACGCAGAGGGGAAGACTTGAAGGAACAGAGGACTTTCTAGATACTCTGACCTCTAAACATTTAGTGCTTTAAAAGTCAAGTGGAAATGATACATTGAATAGCATGTTGCAGAAAATAATATAGTTGTTATCCTACCAGAAAACTGCAGCAAATGGAGAATTAAGGAGGCTGGTAGTGCCTGGCCCCAAGAGATCCACACCTAGTAATGTCATGAGTCAGGAACATTTTGCTGCATTGAATTAAGCAATTTAATTGGTGGATTCTCGTCAGTAGTTTGAAAGAGTACCGCCCTTTATTCCTAGTAGTCCCTGAATACAGTATAGCCCTTTGCTGATTCTGTTGTCACAGAGGATCCCCTGTTTCTTCATGAAGCATCACAAACATGAAGCTAATCACATCCGCTTCCTTCAAGTCCCCTGTTCCTTCAAGCCTTCCCCTCTTCAAACACTTCCTGCTGCTACTAGTAAGGGAGTTCCGATACATCAAAGAGCCCTCCTTTACAACGCTGGAATCTCACATATACAGTACAGGCACTAGCTAGCAGCCTTTGAGTCTAATATCAGGCCCCTTGCAGTTTGCCTTATGGCTCAATAGTCATCTTCAACTCACTTCATTTATTCCCTCCTGTTCCCTATGTTTCCATGTCTTACTCTTCAGATGAGTTTTGAAGGAAGAACTACAGAAGGAAAAAATTTTGAGGGGTTGGCCTTATCTCAGAACAGATGGGAAAAAATAGGGAACAGAGTTGGAGGAGAAGAATGGGCAGAAGTTCAGTTTTTACCCAGCTTTACACAAGTCCTAATTCCTCAATAATTTATACATCGTATTTTATCAATGTTAATATAAGATATAATAACAGCTAAAATCCTGAGGTGATTTTTACAGTAAGATGAAAGAGACCAAATACTCTAAAATTAACATAAAAATAGTAGCAACAGAATCAATTTAGTAAGTATGTCTGCTATGTTAGTGTAAACTGAGCAATTTTTTCATTTATTTAAAAGCAAGACTACAAATTAATTATTTTGCTTTTGAAATAGTTTCAATATTCTTCATTTCCACTGGATAATTAGACAAACGTTTATGTTTTCAATAAGGTCTGCATTCTTTCTGAAGTACTGAAACAACTGTTTCTTGAAACCCAGAAATATAAACATTATCTGGTACTGAGAGTTATATAATAAACAGGTAACCTGTTTCAGAAATCCAAACAACAGTTCACCAGAAATACTTTCACTCTAAATAGCCACTTAAATGTCATGTTTGTGAGCTTTAAAACTTTTTTTATAATCATAAAGCACAGAAAGGTTGCTTTAATTGTTAAAAATATCCACAAGATAGTCAAGAAATACCATTCCTCTGTAATGCTGGGGAATCACAGTGTTGCCAATGCCAATATTTAATTATGTGTGCCCGGAAATGGCCCAAAATGGCCGCGCGCAGCGTTTTCGCGCCCTCGTTAAGCGAGGCGAGGGCGCGAAAATGGCTGCCGGCCATTAGAAAGCTTTGTTGAACGGTGAGTATTTGGCTCATTTGGAACGCATTAAACCATGTTTAATGCGTTCCAATTGAAATCCCTGCCCCGTTCAACGATGCTTCAGCATAGCGAAGGTTAATCCGGAACGGATTAACCTCGCTATGCGAGGCACCACTTATGTGCACTAATTATGTACACTTGTTTAACTATGGTCCCAAGAGGAGCATAATTATGAACACTTTTTGATTTGCTCTTCTTCAATAGTTATGCATGTTACCTCTGAATTTTTATTCTAAAAGGTCATAATTAAAATACAAAACTTTATGTCTCCTGATCCTAATATTGAAATTTTCTATAATTTTCTGCCACTGTTCATCTAAGCTCATACTGCATCAAATAGCAGATACAATGCATGGTCCAATCAATGACTTATTGTATCAACAAATGCATACAAAAGCTATGATTGTGCCAATGATTGGCTACAACATAAACTGCAAAATGTCATTCCACCTGGATACATGTATGTGATCTGTGCAGCACTGAAGTGTCTTTGAAAAGCATTTATTACTAGAAATTAGATGGTGTTAATTAACAAAGCAAAACTGAAGTGAGATGAGAACTGAAATGACATTTGTTCTAGGACAGTGGTGGCGAACCTTTTTGGGCCCGTGTGCCCAAACTGGAAAACAAACAAACAAACAAACAAAAACAGCTGGCGGAACTGGAAGTGGCAGCGGAAGGGAGAATCAAGGTGCCTCAAGATCCCACTCCGGATCCGCTGCCAGCACCAGGGTCTTGTACACACGCACTCGATGAAGCCCTTGCAGGGGCATTGTTCTCCTCCACCTCCTGCCTGCCTCCAGCGCCGCCCCTTTTTCCTCTCCAGTCCCAACTGGGACTTTGTCCCTTTAAGGGAGGGAGGGGGTGTCCTACGTCATTAGAGGGAGACGAAGGGGGGAGACGGAAGGTGTTATTTTCTCATGTTCCTTTGTTTCCATCCACTGGTGCTCACAGGGTCTCCTTATCCCCCCCCTACACACACACACACCTTTTCAGCTTTGGCTGCGGGGGGGGAGAGTAGGGATCTGGCGACCTATATCATGTTCCTTTGTTTCCATCCACCAGTGCTCCTTATCACAGGGTCTCCTTATCCCCCCTACACACACATACACCTTTTCAGCTTTGGCTGTGTGTGTGGGGGGGAGAGTAGCGATCTGGCGACCTATATTTCGCGTGCCGGCAGAGAGGGCTCCGCGTGCCAGCTGTGGCACGCACATGATAGATTCACCATTGCTGGTCTAGGCCATGATGTACTGATAAATTCAGAAGCGCAAGTGATTAACTGCTCAGTCAAAACCAAACTACCCTCAAATACTTTGGACTATAACAGGCATAGATGGCAACAACATGCTGCTCCTGGGAAAAGTCATTTCTCCCCCAACTACCATGGGGACTGCAGCTAAGCTCAGAGGAGACAGGAAAGCCTGAGTATATAGTAAATGATGCACATCCCTTGCTATTTAAAAGGCCTTGGCTCCAGTACACCATTGAGGTTTCCCTTCCCTTTTGCCAAAATCCTGAAAAACGCATCCAATTTTACTGCCATCATTTGTGTTTCCATCTTCTTATTCATACTCAATCCAATATTCTACACTGACAATACTGTCTTGTGCCAAGAGGAAATTTCTCTTCATCTCTTCAACTTCTCACAATAGCAATCATGAATAATTTCTTACTAACACATTTTATTCTTCACGTTGTCACTAGAGCAAGGCACAAGGCTCCCTGAATGTTCCACAAGTGGCTCAACGCACCTCAGCACATGTAAGCAGTTCGTTTTTAATCACTGGGCAAAGACCTCTTAGGGTGCTAGGCAACTATTAAGTGGCAAGCAGCACAGAAGGCAGAATGCTGGTGGTGCCATTGCATGAATAGGTGAGTGAAGAGAAAGGCAATCATGGTGGCCCAGTGTACAAAGGTACTGAAACTTGCCTTGGCTTTTCGTGCTCTGTATTTTCCCCACTATGAAGAGATAGTTGGGGAATAATATTTTTTGCAGAAGCATTATGTCAAAACAGTTAGTCTCCTCTTCCAATGGCTACACTCCTGCTTAGTGGAGTCATTTAGGAAGATGGGTAGGTGGAAAGAAATGAACAAATATGGAAAAATAAGCAAACTCCCCAGGGATACTTTTCACACTTCACAAGTATTCAGAAGACGCACACACGCACCATGAAAATATGTACAAGAGGGCCTTGCAGAGGTCACACCAAATCAGAGATAGCCTGATTTCCTGTCTTTATGTTTGAATATAAGCTGATTCCTGCTAACAGAGTTATACATATAAAGATACAGATAACGATACATAAATTATCACCTAATAATTATTAAACAATATACAGTGGTGCCTTGACTTACAAACGCCCTGACCTACGAACAATTTAACTTATGAACACCTCCGGCCACAAAATTTTGCTTTGACTTGTGGCCGGAGCTTTGACCTACGAACAAAAAAAAGGCAGGGGAAAAGAGCGGGAAATTTAAAAGGGCTAACAGTTGGTGGTGAAGAGGCTGATCACTTCCTGGCTGGACTCCGGGAGCCAGATCCCGGCCAGGAGGCGAGGACCCATCCTGGCCGGGCAGCGGTGGTGACGCCCAGGCCAGGCAGCGGTGGAAGACCACCGCACTGCCGCTGAAACTGCCATCTGGGAACTCACCTGGCCTTCCCTGCTGCCGCACGGCCCCCCCGCCGCCGCCACCACCCCACTGCCACTGGGACTACCGACCGGGAACTCACCTGGCCTTCCCCTCCGCTGCACGGCCCCCCCGCCCCCAAAACCACCCCACCGCTGCCCAAACCACCATTGGCGGGAGTCATGTTCCCCGCTGACGGCAGTTTTGGTGGGGCCTGCGTGGCGGGGGGGGAGGCCGGGGGAGGTCCTGGACTGCAGTTTA